AAAAGCACCCCCCATTTTGGAACCAAAAAAATCATGATTTTATGCTCCTGGATGTATCTAGGAACAGCTGTTTTCACTCAATGGCCTTAGGGAAGTGCCATAAGGCCCCCATACCCCCAAACATAAAATAACCCTAGTCAGATACTTCCTGTTTATTTATATATATATATATGCCTGCCCACCACTGTTACAAAATGTGAACCTGAGGAGGAGACACCATATTATCTGTAAGGTACTCTGGGAAACTTTCTGGATGAAGAGTGGGGTGTAAATGCTTTTAACAGACAAATATCTTTCCATTCTCATTGAGATGTATAGTGATTCTTGCAGCCATTCTGGATCTTATATTTCAATTTCCTCAACATCACAGTGTTAAAGAAGGCTAATTTATACACCAAATTATAAATTATGTGCCAATTAATTATCTGGAACCAGCAATTTGATTTCACAAAACAACATTCTGTACATGTTTTGTGTTATTGTCTAAAATAAATATTAGCAGATTCTTTTAATTTTTCAACAAACACTTAAAAAAACATTGGAATAAATGTTTGTCTTAATGTTAGTCTGCCCTCAAAACTGGTTACACAGTGTGGCCAGAATGTTGTTCAACTCTGGCAGAATGTTACAGACTGTTGTGAGATCTCTGAGCTCCTGTTGTACAACTGAGATTGCCCCCAAGGGAACATGTTCCCCTCAACTCAACAAATTTGGGACTAACACCTAGGCTAGCTATGATACTTCAATGATACAAAACCTGTAGTGATTTTGAGAACAAGCTTTAGTAAAACAACAAAATAGATTTTACTTGTACATAGCTGATGTATGGAATATAAGATTTATATTTATTAATGGAAGAGTGCTTAAGATTTCAGGTACCCAGTGTGGTATAGTGGATAAGAGTAATGATAGTTCAAATCCCCACATGGCCTTGAAAACTCACTGGGGGGAGTGGAACTAGTAAAGTTTCATAAAAAAGTTATAGTTACATAATGATGTAGCTATAACTTTTTAATGAAACTTTACTAGTTTCATAAATGGCTAGAAGTCATTATTTTATTATTTTTATCCATTTTCCAAATGTAGATCTGTAAACATAAAGAAGGTGTTGAATCTTATGACTTAAAAAAATCTGTCAAGAAGATCTGGAAAAGATGGAGGTGTGAAATACAAACCAAATGTTTGAAGCCTTATGTCTATAAGGCACTTAAAATTCCAAAATCTGAAATACAATAACACCTAAACAAATATCAGGAAGCTTACAAAGCATACAATTGTCTGTCTTTCTCTGAGATCTGCTAAGTCTTTCATACTTCCATGAAATGTCGTAATTCTTAGCAAATCTACGACACATGCACAGAAAAATCCAATGTTAATGCCACCCTAAAAGCCTCACATGTCATTACAGGCTGGAACAGATTACAGCTATTGATTGCTGCCTGGAGAATGTTCTTGCTGTGAGAACGGAAGGCAACAAGAAGTGACAGACAGCTCAGCTATTGATCTACTCCAGCAGGGAAACTGCACTTCAAAATAAAGGTCAGTACACTTTTATATCACCTATTAGACATACTCACGATACTACACAGGTTGGTGTGGTTGTACCTCAACCATTCTGATTTCTATTCTGGTTCCAAAATGCGTAGCAGTTTCTACCTAGAATTACTAGAAACCATGAATGGCAAATTATACTTTTATCTCCCATAACAAAGACAGGAAAATAGATAGACTGTACATTTAATAAATCCCACGGGAAAAGATTATTGTGAACATTTTACTCCTTTATGACATTTCTCAATACGTAACCATTTTTCTCAAAGCCTTGCAAACAGTGTAGGGACTGGTCTCTGCTTGGAAGTTAAAACCAGCTGGGAGCATTTTCAGGAGAAAAAGGAATTAAATAAAGCTGGTTTGGGTTGAGGGGACAAAGAGCAAATTGGTAGCAACTGTAGGGTGGAAGTGATGTGTCCAAAATGATTAGAATCATATCAAGTCCTACACCATCTTTTCAACATCACTCTTCAGTGGAATGTGGATTCTAAGACCTTTTCCAAATTGTAGTTCTATTCTCAGACCTAAACAGTTAAGCACCAGTGTTTCTATTAGCAGGTCATGAGGGGAGACTGCTTTGCCTATCCAGTTTACCTTTCTATCAAGTAAGTGTTTTGTTAGGAATTTTTGTGATTACCACTGTCCATTATGATCATTGTTTTACTCTCCCTGTCACAGAATCATAGAATCATAGAGAAGTGAAGTTGGAAGAGGCCTACAAGGGCATCAAGTCCAACCCCCTGCTCAATGCAGGAATACAGTCAAAGCATATCTGCCAGGTGATTATCTATGTTTTTCTTGAATGCCTCCAGTGTTGGAGCACTCACCAACTCCCGAGGTAACTGGTTCCACTCTCGTACTGTTCTAACAGTTAGGAAGATTTTCGTGATATTCAACCGAAATCTGGCTTCCTTTAACTTGAGCCCATTGTTGCGTGTCCTGCATTCTGGGATGATTGAGAACAGATCCTGCCCCTCCTCTGTATGACAGCCTTTCAAATATTTCAAAAGTGCTATCATAGCACCCCTCAGTCTTCTTTTCTCAAGGCTAAACATGCCCAATTCTTTCAGCCTTTCCTCATAAGGCTTGGTTTCCAGCCCCCTGATGTCGCTCTCCTCTGAAATTGTTCCAGTTTGTTAGCATCCTTCTTGAAGTGTGGTGTCCAAAACTGGACACAATACTAAACATGAGGCCTAGCCAGTTCTGAATGGAGGCAGACTAGCACCTCGCGGGATTTGGAAACTATACTTCTATTAATGCAACTTAAAATAGCATTTGCCTTTTTTGTAGCCACAGCACACTGTTGGTTCACATTTAGCTTGTGATATACAACAATCCCAAGATCTTTCTCACTTGTAGTTTTGCTGAGCTAGGTGTCCTCCATCTGGTAACTGTGTAATTGGTTTCTTTTTTCCAAGGTGCAGAACTGTGCGCTTATCCCTGCTGAAATTTCATTCTGTTGTTTTCGGCCCAGTGCTCCATCCTATCAAGGTAATTTTGAATTTTGTTTCCATCTTCTCAGGTATTAGCTATTTTGTATCATCTGCACATTTGACAAGCATTCCCTGTACTCCCTCATCCAAGTCATTAATAAAAATATTGAAGCGCACCGGATCCAGGACTGAGCCTTGGGGTACCCCACTTGTTACCTCCCCCCAGTTAGAGAAGGACCTATTAATCATCACCCTCTGAGTATAATTCTGTAGCCAATTGTGTATCCACCTGACACTTGATCTATCCAGCCCACACCTAGTTAGCTTGTTAATCAGGACATCATAGGGCACTTTGTCAAAGTCAAGATATAATACATCTATAGCATTGTCTATCAGGAGGTTACCTGATCAAAAAACGAGATTAAATAAGTTTGGCAGGATTTCTTCTTGACAAATCTGCGTTGGCTTCTAGTTATTACTCTCCCATGCAAGTTCTTTTATTATAATGTTCATAACCCTTTCTCATTCAAATGTCCCACTGTTCTGAAAGACTACTTCCTTTGGGTTTAGGTAAATGTACCAGATGAAACCATGCCAAATAATTCCACTTGGAATTACTAGAAACCATGAATGGCAAATTATAAATTTACACACAGTAAAAAAGTTTAAATCAAATCAAGTAACATATGTCAAATAAATTGCAATTTTTTTGTAAGGCTTTTCTGGGGTTGGCCTAGAGAGTGATGTAAAATCGCTTAAAACAAACAAACAAATAATAAATAGCTAGGACCTCAAAAAGCCAGGAGGGTTATCAAACACCTTTCAGGCAACAATACATGGCTGGTAAGCAGCACAACTGATGACAAGTTTTGCTTGTCTCTTTTAGATCATTTGTAAACTTGCAAATGTCGAGTAATGAGCGGACAACAGGGAATTTTCCTGAATCAGCATGTCTGAAAACGCAATAATACACAAGGAAACAGAAGGCAAAGCAGTATACCCAGTGGTGTTTTGAGTGTATTTGCCTTACATTGGTGGATTGGTGAATATCAAACATATAAGCAAAGATTCAGCTGTTTTCTTCCACCGATAGAATGGCTTCCCTCAGCAAAACTTGGATGAGATGACTCCACCATGCAGCCTCTCCCCATGCATCCTCTAAAACTTCCCTAAAGGGTTCTAGAGAGGAGGGGGGTATTTGTATATGAATATGAATACCCCTGCACAGGTGGACATAATGAGGGTCCAGCCCCCTGGGGCTGGACTGTCCACTCACCCGTCCACTGCTGCCATGGCTCCGTACTCCCTTTCAAGCACACAGGAGCTTGCGATCGACTAGCCACTCCTGGCAGAAGGAGGGAAGACGAGCCTCCCTGCCAGGCTGAATAGTGGCTAGTCGACCGTGAGCTCTGAAGCAATTAGAAGAGAGTGCAGAGCCACAGTAGCAGTGGGCAGGTGAGTGGACAGTCCAGCCCCGGGGAGCTGGACCCTCGTTATGTCCACCTGTGCAGGGGCAGTCATATACGAATACACCCATTTCTAGCTGGGACCCCCCCAGAATAGAACAGGGAGTGTTGCAGCAGAAAATAATGGGAAAATAATCCTGTTAAATTAGTGACACTAGTGTGCCACTGGGTATCAGCAACAAATCGGAAAAAACCCCAATGTGTAACTTGAATTATTATAGTCAATATAACAGCAATAATTAAATTGACAAGTACAGTAACATGAAGCCGGCACTGACATTTTGAGAATGTTAGGTTTTCTCTTCCTAATATTTAAATATAACTATGCAAATTGCCTTTTGAATTTAGAGGAAAATCCTGTGATGCTGAATGTTTTATTGTGTTCTTACATCACCTTTACACATCAATCTAAAACTGATCCTTCTTGTAAAGAGTTTTTTTCAATCCAAAGAACAATTCACAAAACCAAATAGTCTATTAAACTCTTACCTTAAAGTCACCCCAAAATCCTGAACAAGAAATAAATCAGAGTACTATCAGAAAAGGATACAAGCTCTGATACAGAGTTATAAGGGACTTCACAGCTCTGCTGGCATTGATGCATGTGGCTCGGATAAGATTTGGAAGCAGTTCTGCAGTCACAATTGCTCCATCAAACAAAGGACCAAATAATGGCACCTGTAAGCAAGCAAGCAAATAAACAAGGAATTATTCTGTTATGGTTATTATATTAGTATATATTACTCAGCATAGCAGAGCACAGAACAAGCACACACAAACCAAAGTTGTTTATCTCCCCACTCTATGCCAAAGATTCATTCCAGTTATGTTTCATTTTGTTTTGCAGACCCCAGGTACTCTTCTGCCATGCAAAACATGTGCAATCAAACCTCACAAGAAGATGAATGTTTCTTTTTCACATTATTTTCTTACCAGAGATTGGATTTCATTATGACTAATCTGATTTTCATGCAGTAGCTCTAAAATGCTTCATTTAAGGTTCTTAAACCAAGATATTCTTCTCCTTCCTGCATTTTCCCCATTTCTTTTAGCATGAATAACTACTTCTAATAAACCCTACTTTATGTGTCATATTAAGCAACCAAAGTACTCCAGCTTTCTGCACTGTATATTTTGTGATTTCTTGGCCTTTACTTATTCACATTGGTATCTTTTCATTAAACACCTTCGTAGTGCTTCTTTCTTACAGCAGCCTGCACTGAAGTCAACAATTCCATACTACATAGAACACTGAATAAACAGCACATGACAACAACGCACATTCTTAAAATCAAATTTAAGTTTTCTTGAATATTCTCTTCTTCACCTTAGTGAAGCTTTTCTTGCCATATTTATTTTGACTTCTGTTGCATGACTATAAACCCATTCAACAAAATTCCAAGGTGGTTATGACTTGGTTTTATACATGCATCCATTAACATAGTTGACTAAACATGGTATGATGTCTAGCAGTTTTAGAAATTCAAGAATGCTGAATTTTTTTTTCCATTCTGGAATTTTTACTGCATTTGTGTTTACTGGATCTTGTCAAACTGGTTTTCTTAATACTCATTTTTAACTACATTCATTACTTATTTCACTTACTTTATTGATGCAGGAACAGATGATAACTTTATTTGATCATTAAGAATATAAATTAATCGAACAAACAAAAAAGCAAGCTTTCAATGATAAATCTTCTTCTTCAAGGCTGCGCATCAAGTTCTTGTGAATAGTTCCAAAATTATGTGCTGTTATTAATGTCCCAAATTCACATGGCTGATGTTGAGGCCAGGTTAGCTTCTTAGTTGGAAATAACTGCACTATACATCAGTCACGTGAATTTGGGACATTAATAACAGCATATAATTTTGGAAATACTCACAAGACCTTGAAGAAGATAATTTATCACCAAAAGCTTGTTAGTTCTTTTAAAATTTATTCTTAATGATTGAATAAAGGTATCACCTGTTCCTGCACGGTATTGTTTCAATGAACATACGGCCTTTTCCTGATTTTCTCTTCATTGAGTAACCTTTGAAGACCATTTAGATTGTCAGCAAATAATACTGTATCTGAGAGCCAGTCTGGATAGAAAAATGAAGTGAGACTCAGGAGACCTGTGTTCAAAAGCCTGCTGGGCCATGGAAATTCACTGGAGACTGCACGGATAAAACCACTCATATACCTTGAAGAGTCTATTAGGGTCACTTTAAGTCAGATGCAGTTTGCAGGCACATAACAGCAACAAAATACTGTATATTTGAAGTCAGTAATAACTTCTCAGTTGACAATGACACAATCACTTGAATCAGTTATGTGCTTCTCTAAACATATTTGTCATAGTTAGTACATTAAAAAAAAACAACCAAAATTATTTAATTCTCCCCATCAAACCTACACCAATTATATGTTCTACTGACATTCTGTTTTATTTTACAGGCACAATCAGGTTAGGGTTTGCAGTAGTTTTATACATATTTCTACAAGTACAAGAGACTAAATGTAGTATAATGCCTAGTAGCATTAGAAACAATAAAGTCCGTCTTTCTGTCTCTTTTCATTAGTTGTTGGAAGTTCTACTTAGTGCAAGAAGAAAAATTAGTTATAAACCACCCAGACAAGTTCTGTCATTACTGTGCTTTAAAGCAGCCATTCTCTATGGGGGCCATACAGCCCCCTGGGGGGCCACTGGCACATTTGAAGGGGGGCAGAGACTGGAAATAATTCTTCACACAGACCTAACCTGAAAATAAGCCCTAGTATGATTTTTCAGGCTGCTTGTAATATAAGCCCTACCCCGAAAATAAGCCCCAGTTAAGTGAAACCCCACCCTCCACCATTGTACAGCAACCAGAAGATGATGACATTACTGTATTTGAATAAATGTAGATTGTTGTACATGAAAAAATTAAAACATCCCCTGAAAATAAGCCCTAATGCATTTTTGGAGCAAAAATTAATATAACACCCTGTCTTATTTTCAGGGAAACACGGTACCACTCTTGGGTATAGCTTCTAGCAATTTCTACAGTTAGTGCTACACAATGCAACACAATCTTGCCTTCTTTTGCCTCTTCTCCCACTTGAAGTTGGACATAATCATGGTCAATCTGGCACTGGATATGGCTGTGATGCTGTATTGTGTCTAAATCATTATCTAAAGCAGGGGTGTCCAACCTTTCACCTTCCCTGGGCCACATTAGAAGATGAAAATTTGGTTTGGGCCACACATAAATTTGGTTTGGGCCGTGGGGGGGGCAGCCCTAGCCGTCCTCCGCAGCCCCGCTCCAAGCGCGCTTACTGACAGCTGCGATCTCAGACAGCAAAGGCTGCCAACTTTGACTCCAGTGGGTTTATGGGGCTCCCTTCCCACTCCTTCCTTCCCTCTCGCCCCCCTACCGTTGTGACGTGCCCCAGCGACATTCCAGCCGCAAGCACCGGCAGTGTAACTTGAAACTTTCGAATTTCTTTAAAAATAAAACATTGCACTGGGCCACATTATGAGCTGACCTGGGCCGCATGCGGCCCTTGGGCCACAGGTTGGACAAGCCTGATCTAAAGTTTTTCATATGGTTTTCTTCTCTTTCCTGAACTTTTTTTGTTTACTGCACCTTGGTCCAAGAAATTCTAGGCATTCTTTATTAAAATGCATGACCTCATGTTATACAACAGAACCAAGAACATACAGCACCAGGAAAGCCACATCTCCAAAGACAATTTTGTTTATGTTTCATATTATGTTCTTAATACACATATACTATATGGGTTTTTCAACAGTTTTCTGGCACCTTAAAGACTAGCCAAGTTTATTTGGTATAAGCTTTCATGGACCGCGGTCCACTTCTTCAGATGCAGTTTGTATGTTGGAGTATGTGTGCACGTGCACATGTGTTTTCATCTCACACACATCTGAGGTTTCAGTGCACCGTTTTCTGTAATGCAGCAAAAGTCAGGGTTTGTGGAACAAATCAAAACATAACTATAATATTATCTTTGGAATAGTTTGAGGCAGATATGAGTTTGGGAGGTTTGTAATTAATGTGCTTGCAAAGAGTAATGCTTGATGTTACCATTCATGAGGAAGAGAGGAAGAAGCTAGACTTTTCAATACCAAGTGTGTAAAGCAGGAAGAGGGAATTCCTCACTTGATTCCTACTGAGATCTGGGATGAGCTGAGGAGAGGACAGAGTACTCATAGCATGCCCCAAGATCAGCTGAGTGCCCTAAGGCCCTCTGAGGAGTTGACTTGGAGGAAGCTTCCTCCAGCTGGATGCCTCTAAATCCTGAGCTGTTTGGCCCACAAATAAGAGGTTTGAGAAGTAACTGACCTAGAATACCAGGTGGATAAATAGCAAGGTAGAAGCATTGGGGGGGGGGCACTTATAAAAAAACAATACTCCTTATCTCTATTGCAAGAAAAAGCAGGCTGTGGTTTCACAGATGGAGAGAATCCATGCTTAAACAGAAGCTTTGCTGTGAAAGGACTGTACCACAATGACCTAATAGGCTCTGGATACATGGTTGGACCTATTAAGGAGTCGCCCAGATAGGTGGGGTATAAATCAAATCAAATTCAAATCAATCAATCAATCAATCAATCAATCAATCAATCAATCAATCAATCAATCAATCCACTCATTTATAGTTCATTCTTCCAGGTTAGTATCCACTGTGTCACCATTAGTCAAAATTCAGAGTATTCTCTTTAATATCCATTCCTCTAAGTAATTACTTTAAAGCTTGTTTCATATACTCTGAAACCTCAGTTGGGTTTTTAAAGCTTCCTCATGTGATGTCTACCACCACAACTCAGAAAGCCTGCCACTGCCCAGCTTATTAGGGCAATGACAACTTTTATTTCCAGCAGTAAAATGGCCCCTAGCTTAGAGAAGGGGATACCCAGTCTAGAGTAATGGATAGAGTTGTGACTAGGACTCTAAAGATAAGGGTTCAAATCCTCATTCAGCCATGGAAGCTCACTGGGGAGAATGGAATTGATAAAACCATTCCTTAAATATCTCACATTGAAAGCCCTATTAGGCTTACTATAAGTCTGTTCTAACTTGACATAACATGACAACAACAACACTGGGGACCACTCTGTATATGTTTACAGGGATGCACCATGATACCATATAGTAAAAGGAAACACACAAACACTTTACACACTGAGCAAGCCCATCTGAGTCCACTTGTTTGGTCCTTTGAAGCCAGGCACCACAAGGATGGCTAGCCCTCCCTTCCACAGCTGAGGGGCTACCCAGCTCTAGACAACCAAAGGGTCTTTATTGCCTAGACTCCCTCAAAAGGAATCAAAATTGGTAGAGGGCAATGGAAGATGATAGCCACTCACCTTCTCCAGTGGAAGGAATTAGAGAAGTGTTACAAACTCATTCACTGACCAGGTCAGAATGTTATTAGTTTAATAAGAAAATAAAAGGTCTGAATGTTTGATATCCTACATGCAGCTTCTTTTTACTCTTATGGCTCATCATAAGCTAGTGGCATGACATTTTGAATTTGTATACAAATGTGTTTTATATAGCAAATTTCCTACACAATACCCAACTGTTTATGAGTGATTCTGCTGCCCTCCATGTCAACTTTAATCCTTCCCTCTTGTGAAAATGCCAGTTAGGCACCCACCATGCCATCTCTTTGGGTCTTTGACCCTC